TATGTATCTTTTTTAAACGATTTTAACTATAATGTACTAAATGAATTTATGATATTTTATGTTTAAACAGATGTAACATGACAATATAGTAAGAAAGTGATTTTTCTGCTATTGTGAAAGTAATTTTTGATATCCTGTACTCTCTATGGCAGTAATTCAGCCATTTCTTAGTTATTAATTATTAAATTGATTGGAAATACTTTAAATAGCATGTTCTACAAACATACATTGAAGTAATGTGTCCTATAAGATTCATATTTGTAATATAGATATTTTTATTGTCTTACTATATTACAAATAGTTACACAGTAAAACCTTTGTAAATCAGAATTCCACCTAACCAAATTTATTTAATTTCTGACATGTTTCCATTTTGAATGTGTTTCAGTTTTTTGTGTTTTATCTTTAAAATATTATAGATAAATGTCATAATATAGATTTTTAAAAATTTTTTTAATAATAAATCATTTTTACCTACTTAGAAACATTTTATTACTAGGTTTAATCCAAAGTGAATCACTTTGGATTAAACCTAAAGATTAAAACTAAAGATGTGAATATTCAAACACAAGAATTGAGAAATATTCATTCTAAAAAGTTTGTTTTTTCTGAGAACACATGAATATTGAATACATCTGTAATGCAATTTATTATGAGCTTGCATGACAATGAATAATACAGTTTGAGTACCAAAAACTGTGGTCTTGCTTGCTGTTAGAAATCCTAATTGCATTACAGTAATACAGAGACCAAGTGATTCTGTGATCTGACTTCTCAAGGAATTTTAATACTCTGCTTGATCTCTGTAATTATCAAAATGCTACTGTGTTACTGCTCATTCTTGAACACCATTACTAAACCTTTAATTCCTGTAACATAGCATTTAAAACAATTTTGAACTAATGCTTTCAATCTTACCCAAGGTCTGCTTCAGGTTTTTAAACAAATTGTATTCCAAAAACAGAATGCTTAGAATCAAACATTTTTTTAGATGCATTAAATTTTAAAAATTTGGAACATAAATCAAAATTAAACAAATGGTGGCATTTATGTGAATTCAATATATGGACCGTTTATTTTGAAAGTGGTGTAAGTCCATTTTCTGTTGTTTCGAAAAAATGAAAGGTTAATATATTTGTTGATTTAAAAATACAGGCAAATTATATGAGGTCTGGCATTGTTTCTATTGTTTTATCAACATTTAATTTAATTATATAGATTTGTTTTTGGCGAATTAGACTACGATAACACATATTTATGTGCTGTAAATGGACTTACACCACTTTCAAAATTAGACAATTGTAAAAATCGTTTAATTTCAATTTTGAAAAATCAAATATCGCTTAAAATATACTTCATTTTAATATAATTTTGTTTACAAATACGCATAACAACACATAACATTTTATTTTAGACGATAATTACATTGTCATAATTACAAGATACTGATAGATACTGATTACAAGAATTTACTTATTCTCTGCATGTGGTAGTGTTTCAAAATATGCATGATGCACCGGAGGTATATAGGGTAGTAGCTGCTTCATGTCTTTATATTTTTCGTACGTAATAGGTCTGGCATTTTGGTACAAAGGCTCCAGGGCTATTTTTTCAAAATTTAAAGGTCTTCCAGGACGTAGAGGTAATAAATTGATAATTTTAAATTCTGCGTCCTTCATCGGTGTTTTATAAAAAATGGTATATGGTGCACTTTTGAGAAACCTCAACCAACATATTTGCAACCAATTGACCTGTTCCCCATTAGTATTTTTTTTATCTGTTTTTTAATTGCATTTTGGAGATTTTTTGTTGAAATGAAATTCTCCCGTTTCATTTCATGTAAAATGAATTTATCCTGTTTTCTACATTGCGCTATTACATTATAGTAATCTTGTGGAGTGTACACAAAATTCATTTTTCTCAATGCCATTTCTATGATGCCAAAATCTGCATCGTTCGGAAGGTATGAATGCCCCGAGAGTAAAAATTTGTGGTCAATTATCTCAATGTTGTTTTTCGACTGGACAACCTTCAACCACATCAATGCCATTTGTAAATTTCGATTTTGCCCAGTACACATGTCACTGTAGGCAATAACATGGCTTTGGGTCGTTACATTTTCTAAGTGCTTCAAACAGCATGAAGCCACCTCTTGCGATCCCCTAGACGCAATGGTTTCGTCCCACACATACATATTAACGTTATTATTGTGTAAATTGTGAAAACCCTCGTTTAAGACGTACATATTTCGTTTGTAATATGCGATTGAGACAGACAATTTCGGGTATGGTAAGGCTTTTTGTAAATCAAAAGTGAAAGCAAAGTATTTATCAGGATTTCCCGATGCTAGAATTTTATCCTCTTGTAATGCTTTTCTTGATAATTCAGCATTTTGCAAGTGAATATCATGTCTTTCTACAAGAATCGTTTTTTCGTCGTCATCAGTTATAGTCTTAATTTTCATGTTTAGGAAATCGCATTTCGCACAGGTATCTTTACGTGGCAAATGGAAGCGTAACTTAAAATCTCGTTTAAAGATTTTCCTGTATGTCCATTCATTAACTGAGCTCAAGTTGTTTTCCTTGCATTTTTCCAAATATAAACTATACATTTTTCTTATATTTAATTCCGGATTTAAAAACATTCGTTCTGGATTTTGCGATCGTGTGTAATGACTTTCAAATGCCGGAAAGCTTTTTATGTGGTCTATCACTGTATTCGTCAGTAGCTCACTAGTTCTTCTGCAAGAGCCATCCATTTTTCCACGCATGTCATTCGGAATGTTCTCATGCGATTTTAGGATACGATCAATTCGTCCAGTAGATATTTGGAAAGTATTAATGAAACACTTCTTACATACTAAAATGTTTCCACCAGAAGTGACTAGGTAAAATTTATAAGCATATGCTCTTTTAGTGCCCGAATTATTTCTAGGCCGTCTTCTATTTACAGATTTTCGTTGAACACTACCATATAAAAATACATTTTGTTTATTAAAATCACCTATATTCCAGAACTTATCAAAAATTTCCATACGTTGTGCTTCATTAATACGTTCTATACATTTCTGCGAGCAATTACAATTTTTGGATTCAAATTGTTTTGCAGGAATGAATTTTCCTCTTTTTGTATAGTATTTTTGTCCATTATTTCGCTTAATTTTGTTTATTTGTTGCAAATATTTTTCTTTGTTTTGTTTCGCATAATCCAAGTTCTCAATAACAATATCTTCATCTGATGAAGATTCTACCTCTATAATTCTTCTTCTCTTTTTTCGATTCGTTAATTTATTCTTCTTAGCGGAATTATTTTCATCCTCTGAATCTAACATTATTCTTCTGTTTATATTCATGGGCTTTATGTCTGTGTAAATTTATTTATAATGAAATAAAATAAATATTTTCAATTGTTATAAGATAATAGCGGTTTACCATTTGTTCTTACCTATATCACTATCTGATGTTAATATGAACTTAGCCATTTTAACAGAAAAATAGAATAACTGACCTAAATTAGCAACTGTTGACACGTAATATCACACATAATATAAAATAAATGAAAAATAACAAATTACTGATCGGCATCCATCTGCTATGCCACCTACCTCTGTCAATTGGACTTACACCACTTTCATAATCGACGGTTATGCTAATTCATTTACCGACCGATTTTAAGTTGTACAAAACATGGGATTTTTTTGAGAAATTAAACACGAACTAATTATATATAAAAAGTTTACATTAAATTAAGCATGAATTACGTGATAGCTCATTTTTCTCAAAAATGGACTTACACCACTTTCAAAATAAATGGTCCATATATATATACTGTATATATATTACAAACAAATGCGCATAAATATATATATATTTCTAATGCAAAGATTGATGAAAATTATTTGATATTTACCTTGTTAAATTGAAATATGGATGAATACTTAAAATTTAGTGCAATCCACCCACTTCCTCAAACGACCTGGGATTGGGATGTGGATGGACGGTCACTTCTCTGTGCGTCCTCAACCGAACCTGTGGTCCTTAGCTTGGAATAATAATTCTTGATTGTTTTCGGACGGATGGTGGCATGACCGTACGCCGTACACCGCTACACAGCAACTGATTTTCACTTCATAGCATGCAGCAATCTGCGCTCGCTTCCGAACAGATAAGCGGCCGGCCATCTTTTTTTCCACTGCGCGTGCGGCCTCTCTCGATCATTGCCCACACCACCGTCAGGAAAGTATAAAATTCCATTGATTGATTTACCTGCAAACACAAATTTTATTATAATTACGTAATTATTACAAAAATTATAGCGATTTCTCAATACCTACATACTTCCCACCCACCCTGTGTATATAAACGAAAGTGACGTTGAAGATTTATATTTTTTGTATAAGTAATGCAAAATTAATATTAGAAAATAAAATATTAATACTGTATTTGAAATTTTGTGGCACCCCTATGAGAAATTTGCACACTCCGATTGAGAATCACTTCATTAGGCAATTAATATATTCTTTCATTAAAATGAACTAGTGTAACAATTCCGTATTATAACTCCTTGTTGTTATTGATTTGAAATATCAATAAGTAAATAAATATAATATTAATGATTAACAATTTCTTATTTTAACACTTATTTTTTTAATTTGTATTTTTAATTGCTTTAAAAGTAAAAAAAAAATTAATTGATTAAGAGCTGTTTGAAGGCTTTTTTTTATAACTAACTTTCGAATCTCCTTTTAAACTTGATTAATGTTGAAAATTATAACATTTTCGTTTAGTAAACTTTTTATTGTAATGCCAATTCTGAGGATAGTATCTTGACTAAAAATGAATAATAAAAATTTACTCTTAAGATGTATCAAACTAGCTGAACAATCAGTGTCAATAGAGAATAAAACCCTAAAATCTTTGTAGAAAACAAGTTTTGTTAATTGCCAAGTAAGAAAATTAAATACGAAACTTAAAAATTGAATACTTTTATGTTATTTTCTCTTATCATTTTACATCATAAGTTATGAGTAAAAGAACTACAGCAATTATTTAAAATATTTTCTAGGAGAGATGCAATTTAATAAGGATGCCTAAAAGCTGGTTTCACTACTAAAATACTAGTTATACACTTTAAACATTCTTAATATTTAGATCTTAATCTTCTAATATTACATCGATTGACTATATTATATGAAAATTATTCCGTTCTTCTTCCAATAATACTCAATAAATATGATAAAATTTATTTAAGTTGAAAATTTCAAGAATTTAATTTTAATTATATTCGTTACGTTTTGTTTTATAACTGGAGAAANAGAAAATTGATCAAATTGAAAATAGTTCGTTTGATTTTCGGCAATTCTCTTCAGCGGTAGGTGTTATATAACAATTACTATGGTTATTGAAATATTGGATGTAAATGGGGTTCAATTGCAAAACCTCCGCTGACGAAGTCGCGGGTAACAGCTAGTTATGATATATGGTGTGATAAATAGCTAAAAACCGTAGTGGAGATGGGGGCGAAGAACTTGTACTATACTGAAAGTCCCGAGTTACGAACGAGATCCTTTACGTCGAAATTATAGGTAAATTGGAACACGTATATATGGTTGAAACATCAGTTATTCAAATGTTTGTCTTATTATATAGTAGCTTATACATTTTTAACTTTAAATGCATATAAATACACTTACGAACCACTTCCAAATACACTAAAATATCTTAACACTATACATAAATAATGTAGTTACAATAAAAGTAGGCTCGTTCGTAAATAACGAGCTATTCGTAAGACTGGCTTTTGTAACTCGGGACTGCCTCTATATTTAATCAATGTCCAGCACTCGCGCTCGAATGCTGGGATCTTGCACCGACGTCGTCACTTTCGGTATGTAGAATCTGGAGTGTTTTTTTTTTTTTTTCTTCTTTAATAAAGCAAGCTAAACTGACTTGCTACAGTTATACGTATCCCATGTTCTCGGAATCGTGGGTTACATCATAAATATCAAATAATGCCGACTTAATCAAATATAATAGTTTTTAGTATTTAAAAAATGACGTTTTATACGGCATTTTATTATTTCTCAGATAACTCATCACTACCACGAAGACCGAAATTAAACGAGGATAGTCAATTCATATGTGCGCCTACTTTCAACGTGAAAATTACACAAATTATGATATTTGTAAGAATCAAGACATCTTACATGCTTTCTTTTTCGGTGGACAAACGACATTGGCGATGGAAAATCCATCGTAACTTCTTAATGTGCTTCCTACGTAGAGTCTCGGACAACAACTCTTCTAAACCGATAATCCTTTTATTTTCCTCCTCAACAAATATGGATCTTTTTCGTACAAATCGTTTTCAAAATGAATTAATTCATGCAGTAAGGCGTACTTCTTGCGTATCGTCATCCGAATGGCATTACTGAGGCAAATCCACTTTACGCTCGCGAATTCAGTGAGTAGACGAATACGGAAAATGGACATGGGGAACACTTTGTTGCACTTGCATTCCATCAAAAAGTCCAATTTAGCCCTAGTTCTAATTAGGGTAAACACCAGTTTCTTATAGGTTTTTATTATTTGATTGGCCCCGTCATAAACTTGTGAACAAAATTAGAATATATCAAAAAAAGTCACATAAAACACACATCTTCACTTTCCAGCAGTATTTAATAACTAAAGAAGGTTTTCGGCACCATTACTAGATCTTCAGTTTCCCAGAACAAACAATGGAATATTTCATATATCGAACATTGTAAACTAATACATTCGAATAGCGAATCTACAGATTTAAAATTTCCGAAAGTATTTAAATTGGTGTTACAAACAAAAAAAGGAACAAATAACAACAAAAAAGATATAAACGAGAAAAAAAAATTGCATGAACAGCCGTATAGGACTAATACATGTTACTTCAAAAGGGACAATGATTTGCCTATTATGACCTATATTTATTGCAATTGATGTTTGTGACAGAAGGAATTCCAAAAAGCTTCAAACTTTTACACCATTGCATTCGTAATTCACAGAATCAGTTGAAGGGTTACTGAATTATTAGTAGAGGAGAAGGTGGTATTATGGAACACTGCGGGTATTATGGAACCACCCCATTTCGAACTGATAATAAAGGCGAACTGTAGCGGAATGTGGCTGAACTGAACTAGGCAGACATCCATAGCAAGAGGAAAACCCGTTTTACTTCAGTTAAACAGTTGTCCGTATTTAATCAGCAAATTTGTTTTTTTCAAAATTCACAAGTTTTGAATGCTAAGTGAATTTAATTATTTTTAAAATATAAATCGT